TTGTTCCCAGGGGGCCCGCGGTGTGGGAGCTCCAGACCTTGCCCTCTGGCACGCATCTGCACCGGAGCCCACAGGCTGACACCGTGGGGGGCAGAGGTGGGGGGCAGTGGCTGGCAGGTCCAACCCCGGAGATTTGTAATGTATTTTGAATTTCTCTTTGAGTGAGACTTTTTGTCGTTGTTTGTTGGTGTGACGGAGCCTGTGACGAGGCCACGGCGTGCCCTCCGTCCTGCCAGGTGGTCAGGGGAGCTAACGTGGCCCATTGAACCTAGTGAAACATCTTGGGCCATTGTCCCCGCCCCCTCCCCATCACCAGAAACGAAGGGGGTGCTGGCTGCGGTGGAATGACCCCCAGCTGGGCTCCCTGTAGGGGCACAGGGCCCTGTGTTGGAAGGGGGGCTGTGACTCCCTTCACCCCACACCTGGAAACTCAAGGAGCTGCCCTCCTTCCCTCAGGCGAGCCACCCACCCTCCCGAGGGGAGCTCATTCCGTTCCAGGGACCAGCCTCATGTGCAGGAACTAAGGGGTGCACTGAAGGGCTGGGCACCCCCTGGGAGCTGGAGTCGCACAAACAGCCGGTGTAAGCTGACCTGGGGTGGCGTTTCCCGCCCACCTGCTGCGACCTTCTCTACTAGCTGACCTTCTGGGTGCTGCTGGGGCGGCGGGGAGGCAGGTGCAGGCCGGGTTTATGGAAGGAGTCCCAGCGGCCGAGGCAGCGCCATCCCGGGAGGCCTCGGCGGGCGCAGATGTCCGTGGACTCTCAGCTGCCAGGGAGTGACGTCCACAGAAGCCCCTGTGGGAGGAAGCAAAATGGCGGGAGGAGCCGCTTGAGGGCCCGGCCCACTCGGTTCCCAGCTACTCCTAGCTTGCAACCACAGGGTCCCCTGGACCCGCCTTGTGCGAGGCCCTGCCTGCCCTCACGGTGTTTCAGTAGATCTGCCTGTTGTGCTCCCCATTCTGTCTCTGGTGAGTCCTCTCACCCCCCATGCCTCTGGCCTGTACCCCAGTTCTTGTATGCATAAATAAAAATAAATCTTTTTTTATTTAAAAAGATTTTATTTAAAAAGATTTATTTTTATTTATGCATACAAGAACTGGGGTACAGGCCAGAGGGGCGGGGGGGTGAGAGGATTCACTGGAGACAGCGGGGACAGAACAGGCAGACAGACCGAAGACACTGCTGAGGGGAGCAGCGGGCGAGTCAGGAAAGGTCTGCCGTGCCTTGTGGGGCTCTCCCTGGCCGGCCAGGAATCGAACCTGTGCTGCAGAAGCCGCGGACAGCTTCACAACGCCGCGCTCAACCCGCTGCACCACCGGGGAGGCCCAAATAAAGAAATCTTTAAAAAAGCAAAAAATAAAAATTAAACCATAAAAATGGGTGTGTCTGGACCGACCATTTAAAAAGCAGGCGTGTGTGGTCCTTCGAGCAGCTTCTCGCAGGAGTGGGGCTTCCCCTGCCGATAGCTGCTCTTGGGCTCTAGGGGATGTCCAGGAATGCAGGTCAGTTCTGACCACCCCCGACACTGTCTGCCCAGAGACAGCCTCAGACTCTGCAGGTTGGGAGCTCTGTCCCCAAGAGCGCCCTCCGCTTCAGCCCCACCGCAAACCCAAGCCTGTGCTTCCGGCGCCACTGGCTGTAGACCAGAGGTTCCCACAACCTCCTCCTCAGCTTGCATTTCTTGGTTAGCGCATGTACGGAACGCAGGAGGCCCGCCTACCCTGTAGATGACCAACTGATTACAAAGGCTGTAACTCAAGAGCAGCCAGATGGAGGAGCCACACAAGGCTGGCCCCGGGAGGACCAGGGCAGCACCCCCGGCCCCCCAGGCCTTCACATTTTCCCAGCCCCAGGCGTTCCGAAGCCTCTCCTCTTGGGATTTTGCGGAGGCTTAGTTACTGGGGCGCGCTTGATTAACTGGGCCGCGGACACCTGAACTCAGTCTCCAGCCCCTCCCCAGAGAGCAGCCCTACCCTCTGTGTGCACCTTTGTTTCCCTGGCAACCAGTCCCCACACTCTGGTGTTTTCCCAGGGTTGCCTTCGTTAACATAACAAGAGACACCTTCCACACACCCACTACTTAGAAAATCCTGGGCTTTTGGGAGCTCTGAGGCAGGAACTTTGAATAAAGACAAATGACCAAGTATCTATTTCTTTTTTCCTTTTTTTTAAAGATTTATTTATGCATACAAGAACTGGGGTACAGGCCAGAGGTGCAGGGGCGGGGGGAAGTGAGCGGATTCACCAGAGACAGAGTGGAGAGCAGAACAGGCGGATCTACTGAAATGCACAGTTGAGGGGAGCAGCGGGGAGGCAGGAGAGGTCTGCTGCGCTGTGTGGGAAGCTCCTTGGCCAGGGACCAAACTCAGGCCTCAGGGGCTGCCCATAGCTTCATAGTGCTGAGACTTAACCCCTTGCGCCACCAGGGAGGCCCAAGCATCTATTTCTCATAAATCACAGCGTTCCGTGTGGATTCAAAGCTATGGTTAAAACCAGCAAAGGAGGGCCTCCCCGGTGGCGCAGCGGTTGAGCGCTGGGTTGCGAAGCTGCCCCAGGCTCTGCGGCGCCAGTTCGATCCCCGGCTGCTCCCCGGCCACCAGAGGAGGGTCCCACTGGCGCAACAGACCCCTCCTGCCGCCCGCTGCTCCCCTCAGCAGTGTCCTTCGGTCCTTCTGCCTGCTCTGCTCCCCGCTCTGGCTCTGGTGAATTCTCTCACCCTCCCGCGCTTCTGACTGTACCCAGTGCTTGTATAAATAAATAAATAAACAAACAAATAAATAAATCTTTAAAAAAAAAAAAACCAGCAAAGGAACAACAAACAAAAAAAGTACACAACCTTCAGGGTGCAGGGTTTGCTTCGTGTGTGTTTTAAAACAACTTAAATCCATTTGGATCACAGAACTTGAGCCCTCAGCAAGCACGGGACCGGAAGGGATGGGCGCTGGAGCCATGTGCTCATTTGTCTCGGGGACCCAGGGACTCCTTCAGCCCAAGGCCCCTAACTGAACAGTTGCTCTGACTCATTTGATGGGTAAGGCAGGTTGCCGTGGATTGGCATAAGCTCAGACACCATCGGGGCAGAACTGAAGCCAAGCCAGGGTGAGGAGAAGAAAATCCCAGGTGTAAGCAGAGACTATCCCCCCAAGACTGAGCCCAGGCAGTGGCCCAGGGTTTGGGCCGCTGGTGGCAATGCTGAGGTGAGCGTGAGTAGGAAATGGACTTGCCGCGGAAGTCGGAAGACAGGCCAAGGGGTTCTGCTTTGGGGACCCCTCTGAAGGCCCTTGTACACCCTTGCAGAGGACATCAGGCGCCAGTCCAGCAGAAACTGCCCTCAGGCGCCTAGATGGATTTTAGGTTTCCAAGTGTATTTAAGTGACCGTCGTGAACCTTTCCTTTCATCCTGGTCAAGGTCATCTGTCTCTTAACATCACGTCTCTTGTACACAGGCTCTGACAGTGAGGTGCGGCCACTCGCCTGACAAGGGCGAGTAGTCGATCGGCTCCTGGAGTCAATGGCGCACCCGTTGTCTGAGCCCGCCCGCAGCTTACCCGTCATCAGGGGTGGTTTTCTCGCAGGCCCGGGGCTGTTCCCCGCTGAGCTCGCTTCATTTTATTTTATTTTTTAAAGAATTATTTATTTATAGTAGAATTGGGGTACAGGTCAGATGCACGGGAGGATGAGAAGATTCACCAGAGACAGAGTGGGGAGCATTACAGGCAGACTGAGCAAATACACTGCTGAGGGGAGCCGCGGGCGAGACAGCAGAGGTCTGCGCGCCATGTGAGACCCTCGCCGGCTGGTTGGGATTGAACCGGCGCTGCAGAGGCTGCGGGCAGCTTCACAGCCGGCGCTCAACCACCTGCGCCACCAGGGGAGGCCCGGCTCTCTTCATTTTAGGAGACAGTAGATTTGGGCTGGGAAGTCGCTTGGCGCTGTAAAGCGGAATTAGCCCAGACATTTTCTCAGCCCCCGGGAGAAATAGGAGTGATTCCCAAATCCAACAGAAAATTCACGCTCGCAGAGAAGTGGTGCTCGGGTCTGTGCTCCAGGAGGCTCCCGGGAAGGCAGCTCCGTGCAGTTCCTCCCCCGGCGCCCGGCTGCTTTGTACACGCAGCCGTCTCCTCGGGAGCGATGCTTGGCACCTTCCGCGAACGTCTCCTGCGTAACGTTGTACACCTGTTGCCCCGTAGCGTGAGCTATAGTAGTTCACCCCAGGATTTGGACTTTGGCAACCAAAAAGTTTGTCCTTGCTGCTGCCAACCTCAGAAATACTAAGAATGCAGCCCAGGTGTCCCTTAACAAAGGACTTTGTGTTTGCCGGCCCTGGGTTTATCTTGACTCTGTTTTGCTTCCACTCATACGACTCCGGGAATGACAAGCTGCAAGCACTCTACCTGCAGTGGGTACTGGGGTTCTTTTTTCTCTCCCTAACTCGGGGCAGCGAGTCAGTAAAGCAGCCTGGTCTGGGCACAAGCGGGCGTCCGCCAGAGAGCACCGCTCGGTTTCGGCCGGGACTGCCACGTAGGATCTGGGACCAGGGTACCCAGAGTGCTCTGTTTTTGCTGGAAGCCCCAAATCTGAATTTTCAAAACATTGTCAAGTCCATTAAAACATTAAAAAGACATTATACGGCAGACATCGCCCACCGCCTGCCACAGGCCGCGCTGTTCTGCAGGCCGGCCTGAGTTTCTGTTTCTAGATGCTGTGGCCACTCAGCTGGCTGCCCTCCTCCCCGGGGCCTCGCTTACACTTCGGGGTGCACCGGGTTTCTGGGACGTGACGAAGGACTCCACGTTTCCCCGACTCTGCACCTCCCGCGGGGACAGCTTCTGAAATGCCCTTCTGTCAGCTTCACCTCAGCACGCCAGGCGCCGTCCCCCTCGTTCCGACGGCGCAGAGCCGCGCTCGTGCCCCAGCGGCTCACGTGCACCCCAGCCGCCGTGCTCGCAGGGGGGCAGCCTCGGGTCACGGGTCACAGCCCCTCTTCCTTTCTCTCTGCAGCCAGCGTTTCACCCGGCGGACAGCGTGCGGGGAACCCGCCACCACGGGCTGGTGGAGAGACCGTCCCGGATCCGCTTCCACCCCATGCACCGGCGGCCCGGGGACAAGCCAGGGCGGCAAATATCCTTTTTCATCGTCTGAGGGGGGAGGAGATTGAAATGTCTGAAAGGCTTTCGGGATTTATCTTCCTGCGATTCCCCTTTGACCTCAAACTCTTCTTTTTATCTGATGAGTGGAGGCAATAAAAAGGAGTGAGCTGGAAACTAGCCACCTCTCTGCAGCCAGAATCTGGGGATTGTCGTAGGTGTTCATGAAAGCGTTGACAAAGTTCACCCGCGCAGCGCGGGCCCAGCTCCCGGCCCAGCCCCGCGCGAGCTTCCTCGTGTTCTCAGCTTTCCGCCAGAGCCACGCGGGGTGTGACGCTGAGCCTGGTGGGCTCAGATGTGGCCTCGCGAGCCAGAGCACGTGCGCAGCGCCCGCCGCGGCGCCCCGGCCTGCTCCGGAAGCCTGGAGAAGACGTTTCGTGTATTTTCTGCCGCAGGGGCCCAGACTCAAATGACACTGACACACGAGGCTGCTGCCTGGGGAAGGTCTGAGGCAGGGCCGCTCGGCGGAGGTGGGGGGGGGAGGCCCGGAACGGGGACCGCTGGGCGGCCAGCCTTGGCGTGGCGGACTTCGGGGGTCCGTTGCAGGGCTGAGCTTCGTGGGCGAGGACGCGGGATGAGCGCGCTCTCTAGGCTCTTCCCCCTCTTCCCCGCCTGCGGGGCCTTTCCGGAGCTGACTCCCGAGGTGGGGGCAGACCTGCTTTGCAAGCCCAGACCAGAAAGCTGGGGGAGGGCGCCTAGGCCAGGCGAGCCTTGCCAGGCCAGACACCGCCTGGGCGGGTCGGGTATCATGTGGTGTGGGTGCCTCCCCGGGGCTGGGTTTGTAGCCCCTGTTCCCCACCGGCCGCGGAGGAGCCCACTCCCGGGGGCTGTGCCACCCCTCCAGCCGACTCCCCTGCCTGGGCCCCTCCCACACCTCCAAGTCCAGACCAGGCAAGGGAGGGGGCGGCAGGGGTACCTGGAAACCTCTACTTTTGCCCTGAAGCTGCTCACATTTTTTTTTTTTTTACCTCTTTGGAGGCAAAGGGAACCAGCCTGGGAGTGTTTGTTTCTCCCTCCCTTCGCCCCAGGGTGCTCGCTTTGATCCCCTCCGATGCCCTGACCTCCCTTTGCTGTGGGACCACTACTAGGCAAAGTGGGAATGACAGGGGTCTGAGAACCTGCTCTGGAATGTGCGGGCCTCTCCATGGCCTCGGGAGGGGACGGGCGAGGGGACAGGCGGGCGGGTTCTGCAGCCTCACTGTGGGTGAGCGGTGCCTCCCGTGTGTCTGAATTGCTTGGAATTTTCAGACTTAAGACTGTGCATGTCTTTGCTTCATGTAGCAGTGTGCGTTTTCCTCGTACCTCAATTACCTGTTTCTTCAGGTGTTCTCTGAATATTGTAGTGTGTGTATGAATGGAGTGTGTTAGGTCCTAAATATAAACATGGACTCGCAGCTTTTTTAAACAAAGGAGTGACTTAGGAGAGGACATGGAAGGACAGTGGCAGAGAGGAACGATCAATCACTTAAAAGAAACTTCAGTATCTAATAGTGTCAGGCACTGTTTTAGATGCTGCAGGTGTCAGGTGAGCACAACCTGGCCCCGGCCGGCTGTCAGGCTGCTTGTAGCTCACAGGAGTCAGCAGACGCCTGCCCATGGCCCTCGGGCTGCCGGCGCTCCTAGGGGGGCACCTGAACCACGTAGGCGTCCTGGAAGAGAGCCAGCCCCGGAGGGCAGGGAAAAGGAGCGCATCCTTTCCATGGCCCTGGACAGAGCCCTCCGCTGCCCCAGGAGTTCTTCTAGGCCCAGGGGACCCCCCAGTGAACGAGACAGAGTGCCCTGGGGAGCCCCAGCAAGCACAGCGCTACAGCGAGATCCCGGGAAGTGACTCGGGGTGGCTCTGCGCCATGCGGAGGCCGAGGCGGCTGACAGGCACCAGGCAGGGGCAGCACGTGCAGACCCGGGAGGGCGCCGAGTCCGGTCACCCTGCCGCCTTCAGCTGACCTATGGTTGGGACCCGCGCGTGTGGCCTGGTACATAGGTCGGCTGGTGCGAGCAAGATAAAGCAGGCCGGCACCCAAGGGAGGAGAGCGAATGGTCCGCAGACCCAGCAGAGCCAGTGCTGGGGCACAAGGCATCTCTCCGTTCTCTGCTGGGGCCCCTGATTGGGTTCTGGGGCTGCACGGGCCCCGGTGCAAGGGCACAGTTGGGGCAGGCCTGCCTGGGGCCAGTGGCGGGTATCCTTGGAGGCGTCGGGGGACCCCGGGACCAAGGGGCCAAGCTGCCTATCAGCAGCGATAGGCTCTTACGGCGGCTGTTGTGACGTCGTGGCCTCTTGTCGCGCTGATGTGAATCTTTGTTAGAACAAAGAGAAAAATACATTTAGGTTCTCTTCCTGTAGCTGTTTATTGGCTGGCATGTTAGTCTAGGACGGGCAGCTTGGCTTCGGCAGGGACTCAGGACTCTGTCCTGTGGTAGCGACCTCAGCTAAGTGGGCGTTGCTGAGCGAGCTTCCCCCAGAGTGGGCGGCCGCAGCAGCAGGGCTCTGGCGCGGGGAGATCCCGCTGCCGGGCGCCGGCACCGCAGGGAGGCCACGCGGGGCTGCGCTGATGCCTCGCCGCGGCACCCACAGGCTGGGGCGGTGGCGGCCACCCCGGGCTGCCCAGACAGCGGCTCTTCTGCCTTTCAGCCCCTGCGCGTTCCTTCCGGCTCTCTCGCCGCACTCCGGGGCCGCTGCCGACACCCTCAGTGAATTTCTTAACCTTTAACACATGTTTACAGCTCACGGAGTGTCTCAGATCTGTGGGGGATACACCGGGAAAAAAGGCACCCCACTGAGGACTCCCTCCTCTGAAAGAGAGGTGTTTTAAAACATTTGTTTATTTATACAAGGACCGGGGTACGGTGGGGGGGGGGCGGTGAGAGGATTCACCAGAGAGAGTGGGGAGCAGAACAGGCAGACTGACGAAATCCACTGCTGAGGGGAGCAGCGGGGAGACAGGAGAGGTCTGCCGCGCCATGTGGAGATCTCCCTGGCCAGCCGGGAATTGAACCCGTGCTGCAGAGGCTGCGATAGCGTCACAGCGCGGCGCTCAACCCGCTGCGCCACCAGGGGAGCCCAAAGGGAGGCGTTTTCAAAGAGAAAAACAAATGATTTGAAAGTCTGATTTGTGTCCCCAGCAAGAGGGGCGCGCCGCGCCAGGATGTGCAAGAGCAGCAGGAAAGGGGCCCGGGCCGCAGGGGTCAGGGCGCTGTCCCTGGGCTGGGCCGGGCGTGGGCTCTTCTGAGAGGCGGCTCTGGGGTTGGAGCAGCACCGCGAGCCACCCTCGTCAGCTCACATCTGGGCTTCGAGAAGCTCTGCACCTAAGAGACTTCTCCCTCTAGCCTGCGCCTCCGAGCGCGCTTGACCACCAAACCTGACTCTCACACTAGAGGTTTCCAGCTCAGGACGAGGAGGTCCTGCCCCCAGAGTCTCCCGGGGGAGATGTTCTGACCTCAGAGCGCCTCGTGCAGGTCGGTGTTAACTCGCACGCAGGGACGCAGGAGGGCGGTTTCTGCTGAACCCAGAAAGGTCTTGGCGAGGAGCCCCATCGCACAGTGGACGGAGATGAGCCTGGCAGGGTTCTTGGGGTGAAGGGCCGAGTAAAGTGGTGATGAGACATGCTTGAGAAACTGGGGAGGGCCGGCGCCCCACATGACCCCGCGCCCATCTGGGTGACTGGCTGCGAAATCCACGCCAGCTCAGTTCCCCCGCCAGCTGCGGGGAAGGCCCCAGCAGCGCCCCCCCCATCCCAGCGGGGTCCGAGGGGAGGAGGGCTGCCGGCAGAGCCTGGAAGAGAAGCCACGGCCCACAGGCCAGCAGAGGAGGCAGGCGGGACTGGCCCTCAGGGTCTGCGGCCTGGGGCTCCGCCCACACGTGTCCGCTCTTACCAGCAAAGGAGCTGCTGCCTTCCTCTGAGGAAGGGTGAGTCAGAACGCGCCCTCCAGCCTGTCGAGGATTTTGCGGGAGCCTGAAGAGAAGGGCCTCCCTCGGCAGGGCCAGAGCCCCTGGGTGGCGCCCCCCACGTGTGGCCGTGGCCTTGGGAAGAAGCACAGGTGTGGGACGAGCGGCGGATTTTGGAGCAACTTGTGATGAGGAGCCACGCGGCAGCTGGAAAATGGCCGGGGTCCACCACCTCAGGTGGGACCTGGCGGCCGGTGCGGCGAGAGACTGCTCTGGAGACAGCTGGGGGCTGACCGTGACCGTGGGCCCAGCAGGCCCGCGCGTCTCTGGGCACCCCACCTGCCGCCAGCCTGTGTTGGTTGTGTGCTGCCTGGCACTCCGTAATTCTGAGTTGCTGCTCCCCCCACCGCCCTGTGAGAGCAAGGCATGCAGATGTGGCCCCGGAACTTGGGGAACATCAGCCATGCAGGCTGCGGAGGAGGAGCCGGCGGGAGCCGAAAGGAGTGCCTGGGCCCGAGCCGAAAGGCCCCCGGTTGCCCCACGGGGAGGCCAGGGCTGCCCGATAAGCCCTGTGGTGCTGCTCTTCACGTGCCGGCTGGCAGCTGACGGGCCTCAGCGTGTCTGTTAGATTCAGTGGGCGGTTCATGTGTACCCGTCCCTTCGGCTGGTATTTGGGGTCTTCCGAGTGGTGAGGTGATTAAAGCCACGGGAAGTTTCCTGACATCTGCAGAAGAACAAATAAACCCTTTCTCGTCCTTCTGTGGGGCTCCTCTGTGAGCTTCGGGCTTCCGTGGTTCTCTGGATGCTGCAATGTGGGCGGGTGCCCGTTACGTGAGCTGTGGCTGCGGGAATTGAGACACCAGAGGTCTGCGCACTCTCGATGCCTCGGCGTACTTGTGCTAAGACACCTTGGCATCCGCTGCATTTTCATGCAGAAGGAAGGCAAGATCCGAATCCCAGCCTTGCCGCTCTGGCTGCACCACAACCCCCGCCGGGCCACGGGCAGCCGGTTCGGGAAAGCCTGGTTCTGCTTCCTGATTGTACCATTCAGGGTGGAGGTTCATCAGGGTGCAGGAAAGAGAGGGGCAGCTTGGCCGCGGGGCTGGTGTCTCCTCCCTGACGCTCTGTCCCTGACCGCAGCGCTTGCTCCTCTGTCCCTGCTGCCTAACAGCCGCCGGTGCCCCGGAAAAGTCTCTCTCAAAAATATCTGCATTGGCCCAGATTCAGATTAAGAAATAAGATAACCGGCCAGGCCGCACCCAGCACACAGAGCGAACTTGTGTTCATAATGCCGCTCCTGGCAGAGTAACCGTTTCCAGCTAAACCATGACGGGCTTTCAGCGCCCACGTTTCACGGCTGCCAGACCCGCACGCTCCCCGGCCCAGCCCAGGCCCGAGGCGCAGGCCTTCCCCACCAAGGCGCCTTTTCCTCCCGAGCCCACGGGGACGGAGCCTCCTTGTAGGTGGACCAGGGACGCTTCTCTAGCAGGAGAGTAAAATGATTAAAAATGTTTTAAGAAAAAGACTGTCCTTTGGGTGCGAGTAGCTGAGGCAGCCATATCAGCCCACCCTCAGCTTGTGTGGTGAGTGCGGCGGAGCTTCCTCCGCAGGAGCGGCCCCAGCAGCTGGAAGCGCTCGCTCGTGGGCCGTGAGGGGCACAGGCTTCCTCACAGGGAGGCCGACGTTTCCCCACAAACCTGACGCTGCTCACTTCTGGTTATAAGTAGCTGGAACCCTCTTGAGAAAAGGAAGTTCATTGACTTATGTCACCGGGAGCCCAAGGGCCAGATCCGGGCAGGAAGCAGCACCCCCGGGGAGTGCCTTTCCCGTGGTGGGACCCCCCACTGCCTCGGTGGGGGAACACCCTCTTCCCCTCAGAGCACTCCCTGGTCCCGGGCGGGGAGGCCCACAGCCCGGCCGCCCCACCTGGCCGGGGCGGGGGGCAGAAGGTGATGCTGGGCAGGCATGCAAGATAAGCGACACCCGCGGGAGCCCCGCGAGGCCACCCTGTTCAGAAGACTCGAAGGAGCTCCGCAGAGCGAGTGCTGCGGGCGAGCTGGGGAGGGGCCCGCGGGGAAGGCGGCCAGGTAGGAGCGCCTCGGCCGCCTCACTCTGTGTCCCCGGCCATTGGAGTGTTTTCCTTTATTGAAAACCCTACTACGACGGCGGCGCGCTCGGAGCCGGCTACTCCTCGCAGCCCCTGGACGAGAGCTGGCCGAGGTGAGCGAGCCAGGCGCGAGGACAGGGAGGGCGGGGGTGGTTTCGGGAGGTTTCGCTTTACTTCATCCACCTCGAGACTGTTTTAGAAATTTGTGCTATAAAGCAGAGGATCTTGTTTTCTCTTATAAAATACGTGTGATGCCTACGTACAGCCCTGGGCTTATGTGAAAATCTAAAATGAAATTATTTAAAAATGGGAAAACTTAATATTTCTTTTTCAGATTTTTAGTTTCATTTTCAGGTTACATTTTTGCCCCCTATGTGTACATGTTCTACTGAACTAAAAAAAGGCCTTTTTAAAACCAAATAGAAGCACATTCGAGCTGCTCTGAGTTGGCCTCTTCTATTTGAGGACTGGAAACACCTAAACTGCTGAAGGGAACAAGAGCCCCTAAAATGGTCATTTTTATAGTGACTTTGCTTTAGCGTCTCAGTATTTTTGTACGTGGCGTACACGGGCACGGGCAAAAGGAGGGGATGCTTCTGAGTGTGGAGGGAGGCAGAGAGTCAGGTTCACCGGCCAGACTGCCCAGGCTGCAGGCCGTGGTGCGGCCCAGGCCTGTCACCGAGGAGGCCTTTGCCGTGCACAGAATGTTCCGGTCTCCAAACCCTTTAGTCTGGGTTGTGGCCTAGTCCCCACTGTTCTCTGGGCAGGTGCTGGCCCAACACTTAGCGTGGACAGTGTAGTCAGGACCTGGGAAGGTGGGTACAAAGATGGGGAGGAGCTGCCCCGACCTCCGGCGGGTTTTCAGCCGCCCTCGAGAATCTTGGAGTCCAAGATGGTAAGGTGAATTTGTTTTAGATCATAAAAGAGGACTCCAAACTGGTGTGTTAAAAAACTGTATCCAAGACAAAGTGTCTCAAGCTTTCCAGGGAGTGGGACTAGGCAGGCTCGTTCCCGCAGGCTGGAGGGCCGTGCGCAGGCGTCTCGGGGGATGCAGAGTCGCGTGTCCGGAGCAGCACGGGTGGTGGGCGCATCAAGTAAGACCTCACATCTCCCAGAGAGCGACAGTCACAGATCTGAAGTATTTCGGGGGGCACCCAAAGGTGCTTGTTTGCCCAGAAAAAAGCAAACACAAGGACACCCCCTGTGCCAGCTTGCTTGTCATGCTCTTGGGGACCCGTGGTGGCTTTTACCATGGAAGTTTATGGGGACATCAGAGGTTGTGGGACTGGGGAGGTCGGTCACCCCGTCCCACCTCACGTTAATGCTGAGCAAGGCCCGGAGCGCCCCTCCTGAGGCCAGCGGTTGGGTGAGTAAATGAGCCATTTGTCAAACCCAGGCCTGGGGTTCGCCTTTGCTCCCCCGGGATTGAACTTCTTTTTATGTTATTCTCGTTTTTAAAGGCAGCAGCCACCTTGGAAGGAAGAAAAGCACCCTGGGTTCCGGCTAGCGTCTGCACTTAACAGGTACGTGCCTTGTTTCCTGTAGAGATGTTCAGGCGGCGCCAGCCCCTCGTCTCCAGCGTTGCGTGTGCTGCCCAGTCGTGGGGGCGCGTCCTGTCCGCTGCTGTCTGCAGGAGAGGGGCTAAAGGAGCTAACGTGTGGTCTGAGCGGGCCGGCTTGCCTCTGTGACCTTGAGCAGGTGGTTAACATCTGTATTCCTCAGTTGACTCACTGGGAGAAGGGAGGTGACAGTGCCCGTGTGGGTGGGGAGGGCTGAGTGAGAGCTGAGGGATCCTGGGAGGCCGGAGGGTGAGCTGTCGTCCCTCCGGAGGTACGTGCATCCTTTCGCCCCGGTAACCCCTCCCAACGACAGCTGTCGTTTCCTCGGGGGTTAAATGGCTTGACAGGGCCGCTGAGCTAATATGTAGTGGGACCGGGATTAAAAGCATCAACAAAACACTTAAGATACAAAGCGCAAAATTTTAAAACATACACAAAAGAGAAAAGAGTGGTGAGAGGCCCTTGTGCCCAGCCGTCAGCTTCGGGCCTCGCAGCCCTCTGCCAGCCTCGTCGCCTCTCCCGGCCCCGCCCCAGCTGCACGAGGCACTGTACCTGCAAAGGTCTCTAACCAGGTAGGACTGATAAGAGCCTTTTTAAAAAGACTTAACCTCACGGCCACTGTTACCCTTAACCACAGCAGCGGCGATCCTTTAGTGTTCGCTGACACCCAGCCGCGTCCGCGTTTTCCCAGCAGTCTCTCTGCCTGTGATCGCGGCGCTCAGCCTGAGTGCGTGAGGAGCTGGAATCTGGGGCCCGCCCCACTCGCAGGCAGTGCCGCCCTACGCTGGGCTCCGGCACCGCCCGGACCGGCCCCAAGGGGTAGTCAGACTCATTTGAAGTTGCTCACAAGTTTTTTTTGCAGCAGACAGTTGGACCTTTGGGTGAGATATGCACATAATCATCTCTTATTGGAGTCTCTGGGAGAATCCAGTGGTTCCCCAACCTTTTCTCTCCTGTTCTTTGCCAGCTCAGAAACAGCTGAGCCCCTCAAAGGGCGCTCGTGTGAGTGATCCTGATCTTTATCTCCTGATGTCAGAAATTAAATTGATTTATAAGAGATACCATTACTGCATTTAAACGTAACAAAGGGGAAACCAACCCATTACACGTTAACATAAATAATGTCTTTTAAAAAGAAATAGTTACATTTTCTAAAACAAACAAAAAATACTGAGGAGAGTGATGTTGCTGTAGCTTTCACAACCCCTGGGAGCAAGCAGGCGTCTGCTCGGGCACCGAGCCTGGGGCGCCAGCAGCCTGAGGCCTCTGAGCCAGAGCGCAGGAGCCCCGGGGCAGGGCGAGTCGGCCTCCTCCGGAAGGTGCTCTTGACCTTCCTTCTTGCCCATGAGTTTGAGAACCGCTGCTCTGAGAAGCGCTTCCCACAGGAGCAGGTATTCTCAGGCGGGAGGTGTAGGGGAGGCTGGGCACGGTGTGCTTCTGGGGTTCGAGGAGCAGGGGCGAGCCCAAGGCCACCTCGTCGACCAGGATCATGATGTCAGCTTCGCAGTTCGAGGCTATTGAGCCTCCTGGGCCGTGCAGTCCTCAGAGGCTGTTACTGGTGTGAGGGGCGCAGGTCGGTCCAAGCCCCTCGTCTGACGGATCGCAACTTGTTCGTTCTTGCCCCCCCTCCTGCTGGTAATTTGCAGCGAAGAATCTCGCATTTCCACTAAGGAAAAATAAATTTCAGCCAGATTCTCTCCTCCCCCCTTAGGACCAATTCTGACTCCGCTCTTCACACGAGTGCCCTGAGCGCCAAGCCGCAGGACCCCTACGGAGGAGGAGGCCAGTCGGCCTGGCCCGCTCCATACTTGGGTAAGGCTCGGGGCCCGGCCTCGCTTCTCCTGTCGTGCGGAAACCGAGAGAGACTCAGGCCGTGCTGCTTCCCGGTGCGGTGTCTCGGCCGAAGCCACTGGCGGGGGGAGTGTGTGATGACACGAGCAGCGCCTGCGCTGTGCTGCCCCAGCCGCCGGCTCCGCAGACCCCGCGGGCGGGGGCCTGAGTCGTTCCAGAGGGGCTCCCGGCAGCCTCCTGTGCCGCCCCCTCCAGCCTGTTGTGTGCCGGCCTCTCTGAGGGGCCGCCTTCCATGCAGGTGTGAACAGAAAAGGCCAGAAGTGACGTGGAGCTCAGGGTCACCCTTTCGGCAGACAAGAGCAGGCAGCCTCTTTCTGCAGGCCTCTGTCAGTTACTCCTGAACCCCCAGCAGGGGCTGAGGGACCACCCCCACCCCCACCCGGGGCAGCAACACTGGACCAGCCTGCCCAGGAGGAGTGCTGGGTCGGCCTGAAACGCCAGCCCAAGCAGAGGAGGCGGCGCTGCGGCCCCACGCGCCTGCCTTCTCGTCCCCATCCTGCTGGTCAGGCTGTCGTCCCACCTCCTTGGCCAGGGTAAGGGGTGGAGGGAGGCCGGAGCCCCTGGGATGGGCGAGGCCTGTCCACCAGGCTGCTTCCTGAGCACCCTCTGCCCTGCGTGAATCCCTGGGGCACCTGAGCCCCAGGAAAGCCCAGGTCTCCGATGGGCCGAGGGAGCTCTGGTTCTGGCCCTCGCCTGCCCCCTCCCCCCTCACCATCCTCACACTGTCAGCCTCTGCACCCCCAGGGCCTCTGCTGTTCCATGCGGAGTACGGCTGCCTCTCCGGGATACTGGACAGCGCCCTCCGCTTCCCTCCCCTCGCCAGCCCGGAGCCACCCCGACCTTGCCCAGCCTGGCCCTCGCTGAGGGGGGCGTGGGGGCGGGACTCCGAGGTGAGCGCAGCCAGCGGGCACACGACACCCTGTCCACGGGCACGCCCCTGGTGCTGGGGCTCAGGCCCTGTAGGCAGGGGCTCCGTGGCCCATCCCACCTGCAGGCTGACTTGGCCAGCCTCTAGGACGAGGTGTCTGCTCTTGAGAAAGGGGAGTAAGTGACTCTCTGGCCAAGACAGTACCAGCTTTTCTGGTTTCCTTTGCTCTTAGACTCTCTGGAGCCCGGGTGGCCCCTGTGCCTTCCGAGGCGCGTGTCGCGGCCCTGTTTGCTTGCACAGGGGGCGGAGGTCATACCGCCACCGAATTTGTTCCCTGGGTCCAGGTCAGAGGTGACTACACTGGCCTGGATGGTTGTGTTTGTAGCGCGTGGCTCCCCCGGACAGGCTCAGGGCCGCCTGTGCCATTACCCTGTGGGCGGGGGTGCCAGGGCTGGGGTGGGCGTGGAAACAGCACCCACCAACCAGAGTGTGGGGCTGCTACCTGTGGCCAGGTCTTCACTGCCGGGCTCCAGGGGTTACCCTGGAGCCAAAGAAAGAGCAGCTCTGAGCCTCAGCCGCCCCTCGGCCTGGCCTCGCAACAGGGCCCAAGGCCTGAGGGGCCAGGAAGTCCTCAGTAACTGAAGTGGGGCACCTTTGGGCCCCTAAGCAGAGGAACAGAAGTGAAGAGTGAGCTGCTGACGGAAGCCCCCAGCCAAGAACGAGGCTGCCTCAGGGACGCGGAGCAAGGAGGGGTGGAGCGGGCCTGGGCCCAGAGAGTCGTGGAGCTGGTGGAGGCGCGCGGGCGGGCGGGCCACGGGCCCCGGAGCAGGGCGCTGTGGGCGCGGGCACCCTCTCAGCTGGCCGTTGGGACGGCGCCCGCGCGCAGGCCAGCGCGCCGAGCCCGAGACACGTCCAAATATGGATGTGTTTACACGGGAAAGCCGGCGTGTTTAAAATAGGACCCAGGTCTCCAAGGATAGGAATTATTTCTGGAGAATTATATTTGTCGGTGGGAGCTGTTTTGAATAGTTTCATGTATTTTCCCCCGTCGTTCATTAAGTTTTTCGTTTTCTTTCCTTTTGGATTTTTAAAATATCAACTCGCTTTGCAAAAAGGTATTTCTTTTTATAGGACTAACCAAATAAAGATTTAAAAAGCGATGGGAAAATGTATTTGAGGCCCAGAATTGGGCTCCGCAGCAGAAGCCAGAACAGCCGAGCCTTCCTGGGAATCTCTCCCGAGATAACGGCGCAGCCCCGGCTCCCACGATGGGGGGATGCGGCGCCTCCGCTCTGGCCGCGCGACCCAAACCCTGCGCTGAAACGTGGCTGAGCCCAGAGGTAGCCATGGTCGCCTCATGGTAGCTGCGCTGCGGGGCGGCGGGCGTAAAGGACAGAGAATGGACCATCACGCAGAATTTCTGGATTTCTCTTGTTGGGTCTCCACCTCCACCAAGTGTCCCTCCCGGCAGCACATGGACTGCAGCTCCACTCATGGGCGGCGGGCTGTGCCCCCGTGACTCCTCCCTGTCTATCTGGGGGCGTCTGGGCAAAGGGCGTGGGGGGCAGGGTGCTGTGGCCGCCGGCCCCTCCAACCAGGTCATTTCCAGTTCCCAGGCCTGGGAGTGGCGCACACGACCCCGGCGCTCCTGTGATGGGGCTTCCTAGAACAGACATGTCCCTGCCCTGTCCCCCGAGGGATGATGCGAGCCTTTCCTGTTTCCAGACGTCCCATCACAGCGTGTTCCTTTTTATTTTTAACCGCTCAGTCATGGTTGTGTCCTAGGGTATTTTTTATCTGGTGGTAAAAACCCAGGCCAAATGTTTGGTTCTCTGTGAGCTAGCGTGGCAGTTGGGGCACTGTCCACTCGCCACCTGCACTCACAGGGGCTGGTATCGAGTGCCCCCCACTCCCGCCCCTGCACTCCCTGCGGCCTCTCCGGCCAGGTTCATGCTGCTGGGCCTTCTCCTCCCAGTCTGCCCCAGGCTCTGCCATGAGGACTCCCCTAAAGCTTAGCTGTAGCCCCTGTCACTTCTCTAACCAAACCCTGCTCTTCCCTCCAATGGCCAGGTTATGGCAGACCCTCCAGCCCAGCCTGGCCCACCCCCCCATGCGAGCCACTGGACTGTGCACCCCCCTCCCCGGTCCTCATCCTCCTCCTCCTGTGTCCCTCTTCCCTCCTGACTTCACACTGGAGCATCTCCCTCAGCCTTCTTCCCAAGGGGCTGCGTCTCTCCAGGCTCAGCAGGTTGGACGCTGGAAGCCCCGCAGGCCAGATTCCAGGCCCAGTGCTTACTAGCAGTGTGCTCTCGGGGTGACTAGCACCCTCTCAGCCTTGCCATGCGAAGAGGTGAGCCTGCCAGAGGCCTGGTGCTAGGTCAGTAAACAGTGACATTTTAATAGCCTCGCCCTGCTGCTGTTCCTATTCCCTCTCACTGCTTCCTTGGGTGCCACCTCCTCCACGAAGCCCTCCCTTCTGGCAGGGGAGGTGGCACTAACAGGATGCCCTGGGGGCCTGCTCCCCACCCAGGCAGTCTCAGCCTCTGCACCTCGTCCCTAATGTTCTCCTGCCCACACCATACCCCCCTTTAGAGTGTTAAGTCCAAGCCTCTGCAAGACTGGCCCAGTCACCTCTGAGGTGACTATGTTACAGGGCAGGGAGAGGGGCAGCCCAGACCCCACAAACCTGCCTGCTCTACATAGGTTCTGCCATCCGCCGCATCAGCACAAAACATATGAGATTTTAATGGGAAGGAACTTTAATACAATTAGGAAACAACACAGGAAAGGCAGAGAACAGTTTCTATATCCAGCACCCAGAGTGACCCGTCCCCTTGTGGTAAAAGTCCACCCAAGCAGGATTGGCCCAGAGCAAGGCCCCAAAGCCTGCCCCAAGTCTAAAGCACCTTCCAGGAGGACCCACAGAAAAGGATCAGAAACCACCAGACAAGTCTGGGAGGAAAAGAGCAAAATCAAAATCAAGACAAAACCCGCCATTGTCCCCTCCCCACGGGTCTCTCACCCGCATCTGTGTCACCCCGTCCACGACCAAAAGGCAAGCGCAGTTTCTCCACGCGTCTCTCGGCTCCATGCGCCTCCTCCAGGCTCCTTCTGGCTCCATCCTGCTTCCTCCTTCCTCAGTCTCCTCTGCAGCTTCTTCTCTCCCTGCTCAGCTCCACCCTCCCTTGGGTGGGCAGGGAACCTGGAACCTCCCCCTTTCCCAGGGACCCCCCGGTTACAACTATTGAAAATGTGGGTACCTGGGCCCACTCTCGCAACCCAGTCAAGTTCTTTGCAGGGTGGTCCCAGAACCTGCATTTTAATAGCCTCGCCCTGCTGCGTGGGCACTAGCATGAAGGCCGTGCCACTCAGGCCCCTTGCTGCAGGCCCAGGGGAAGCGGTGAGCTGCTTGATGCGTCTCTTGCACGGTGGTGGGCACCTCTGAGGCCTTGTCCTGGGCGCTCAGCTTGAGGTAGGTGCATAAGTGTGCTCAGAGGACTAGAAACTTGGCCTGATTCATCCTGAGACATCACTCAGTGTGCTTACCCCAAAGCTGGCGCCTCACACCAGCCTTCGGGCCTAGCCCGGGGCAGCAGGGAGTGCGCCCTTGTCCTCTGCAGTGCTTCTGCATTAAGAACACCTTGCTCAGCCCGAATTTACTTCAAGTCAAATTTGCTTTTGTTTTCCCCACCTCCATACCCTGTGGCCCCTGACCCTGCCCCCAAGCCGGGAGCCCTGGCGGCCTTTGCTGACTCCCATCAGCCTTGGTGCCGTGCCTTGCCAGGCCGTCTGCTGGGGAAGTGCCTGCCCGTGTTCTCAGTGCTTCGACTTGCCGCGCCGCACGGTTCTCCCAGACCCCCTCCACCTTGCGGAAGCGGCTGGGTTTTCGCGGGGGCGAGCAGAGCCCTGTGGTGTGGCCGCAGCGGGTCTCACGCCGTGGCCTGGGCGGCCTTTAGGCTGCTGCCCTGTTCTCGCCGCCACAGCACACACTGCCGCGAGCAGGCCGAGGGCTGGGTCTTCGCGCTGTTTCCTGTTCCTCGAGCAGAGGCCCCGGGTAGGCTGGGTGCTCCCACAGCATTTCCATTTTTTAGGCTTGTAGGGTAAATCCCGCTCGCTTTCCAGAATGGCTGCCCCGCTGACTTTCCCGTCAGCAGCGTGGCGGGCGCCTTCCTCTACATCCTGTCAGCACCAGTCAAGCCTTTAAAACTCTGTGGTCAGCGATGACATGTGCCATTTAAACTGAGACTCCAGATTAATTAGTTCTTAAATGACTTGACTGTTTGCAAAATACCAGCAGATGCCTACCACGGCACAGCCCCCCCGGGGTGTCCCCTGCGCAGCGCGAAGTGCAGGACAGTGAGGTGCAGGTTTGACCGACCTGTTCTTCCCCCTGACAAAGCGTTTGCAGGCGCGTTTTAATCTACGGTCCTTGGCTTTGTGATTTGAGTAGCGGTTCTCAGACTTTGTAAAAGTTGGTTTCTCTCAAGACAGAGGCAATAAGAAAATTTAAGCCAATAAGAAAATTTAAATGAAAAGAAAAGTAGCTCAGAGTCCACCTTAGACCGACTTAGCCGTGTCTGTTTTAACTGCAGCGTCAGTGCTCATGCACCGTGGGTGCCCGGCAGCGCGCCGGCCTCGGCCTGGAATTTCCAGGCTTCTGTTTCAAGTCAGAAAGAGTCACTGACTTGTGAATGGTAAAAATGAACACATCTGTTAAGTTTCCTTCTTTCTCACCAGGTTTCTGCGACGGTGAGAATGACATCCACGGGGAAGGTATGCACTGAGCCCTGGCCTGGGCTGGGCAGGGCGCCCTGCGGCGTTCTCGGGCCCTCCCTCCACACCCCGGCTGATGAGCACGTTTCCAGGACTTCCCAGAGTGCTGAGGGCGCCCGGCTAGTTTTCTAAGATGCTCTGTAAAATTAAGGCCATGGTCAAGACCCTAAGAATGGAGAGGCGTGCCTGGGCTGCAAAGGCTCCTCATTCTCCAGGCCCCACAGGCCCCCGTCCCAAGACTGCGCAGGGAACCAGAAACGGCAGTCACACGAGCACATTCATGAGTTGATCCCTTACACAATGAGCTGCTCCAGTGTCCTGCCCTGCTCAACACTCTCTGCCCATTTAGGAAGTTTGAGTTCTGGCTGACAGCTGTGATCAGACAGTGCCAGGAAATCAGGCAAATTGATCGCAAAATGGAGTCGCACGTCTGCAGAAGACACTGCGTGTCTGCAGGCCGATGGCAGTCGTGTCGGGCCAGGACCGTGCCGGGGTCACGCAGCGCGGCACTGTTGTCCTTCCTCTTACCTTTATAACCCGAAGTGCCATTTTCATCATCTGCAAGTGAACCACTGAATCAGGTTTACGTGTCGTAGATGTGAGGACTCGGGGGTGGGATGCACAAGGAACGTTTGCACCAGAGGCGCGGCTCCGGCCTCCTCCAAACGTTTCCTGGGCAAGCCAGCTCGGCCGCGAGAAGCCGAAACACCGACACGCACTGACACACCGACAGCCACAGAAAAAGCTTCGAGTTTCTGCACATTCCCCAAGTGAATTCCTGAAGAATCCTCAGCCCATCTTGGGTGTGAAAAGAGGCCAAAAAAGATGAGCTTCTCTAGGAAATGGCGCCCTCTAAAGTGGTGCCCTGCACCGCACTCCCCTGACATCCTCTCGTGAAAGCTGCCTGCCCACTTGGCCTCCGGGCTTCCCTGCGTCACCTCAGCCTCCCGTCGCTCCTCGTCATCCTCTCCGGCCCACTCTGCAAGGCCCTTCTGACCTGGCCGCGGCCCCCACACCAGCCTCCCCAGCTTCCCGACACCTGGCTCCGAGGCCGCTGGTCCCCCGGCTCCACGCCAGGCAGGACTGTGCCCTCAGCCGCTGCCCCTTTCTCCTCCCATCCTCACCCCTGACTGGATTGCCGTTCTGTGGAGGGACCCCTGCCTTGTCCTCCACCCGGCCCACAGTGCCCCCAGCACCTTCCCTAGCAGGCGGTCAGCGAGTGTCCACTAGGCCATTTCCTCCAGAGATGCTCTGGCTGGCTAAAGGGGGGCGCCTGTCCGTCTGTGTGACGAACACCACTCTCTTGTCCCCCAAGCAGCGCCTTTCCCCGGCCCGCTGAGAGAAGAGACTCTGCTAAACGTCCCCAAGCCGGTGCCGAAACAGCTGTGGGAGGCCAAGGAGGTGGGTGAGCAGCCGCGTGTTTGCTGTCTCCGAGCGTCTGCTCTTCAGAGGGCCCCGTGGAGCCCTGCAGGAGAGGGGCCTGGGGCCGGGAGGAGGGAACTGAGGGTCGAGTCCCTGCAGCGGCCTCAGCGTGTTGAGCCTGTGCGGTGAGCTCCGGGCTTCTGATCTCTCTGCGTTCACTCAGAAGCGCCCGCGCGCCCCGGGTCTCCAGGGCTGCGAGCCGCAGGCAGGTTTTCCTGCCTGTCCCGATGCCGCCTGCCTTTCGCCAGCGCCCGCCCAGAGCTGCCTCGCCCGCTCCTCCTCGAATCAGGAGGCTGACCTGAGTCCCGGGTCTCACGGGCCCTTCGTGGCCGGGCCCGTGCCCACTGTGCCCACGCCTGCCCCGCCCCAGCACCGCGGCCGTTCTCCCTTCGAGCCGTGACACACGTCTGTGTGGGTACAGCTCATGGTTCGAACAGGAGAAGCAGCTGCTCGCGTTTTTGGCTGTGGGGTCCAAGGGGTGTGGAGGCTTCAGAGGGCAACTGCCTTCTCCGGCAAAGAAGGTGGCGGCACCCTCTGGGCGCGGTGTGCGGGGCTGCTGTCTGGGGGAGCTGCTCTCCCTCATGCTGCAGACTTGCAGAATCCCGTGACTCATTTCTGAGCTGGTGGCTTCGTTTTCTCCACCACGGAGTGTAGCGTACGGGCTGCAGCCGCGCGGGGGCGGGGGCCGGGGAGGGGCTCTGGCCCCGGGGCTGGCTTGTCCCTGACAGCGGGGTCCTCTTTCTTCTGTCTTTTCTGTTTCCTTCTTTTCCTCTCAGACGGTTGGAAAAGGAATGTTTCATGTCACGCCCCTCTGTCTGGGAGAGTCCGGTCCCGACGTTGGGGCTGCTTTGTGAGGTTAGGGCACCGCTCCCCCTTGTGCGTCTGGAGCCCCAGGGTGCTCGCAAAGACGCGTGTCAACCCTGGACGTGGCTTTGCCGCAAGTGAGCCTGGCTTCTCTGTCTCTCCCCAGAGTCAGTCCCTGACAGGACGCCCTCGGTCCTGCGATGTTGCCGCCCACAGGTAAGTCCTGTTCGTTCTTTTCACGGCCGAAGGACGGCCCGAAGGCCAGTCTGTGGAATTTGAGAAACTGAATTTTCGTAAAAACAACAGCTCTCTTTCGATACTCAGAGTTCATTTGTTTCGAGTAAATCACGTAACTACAGTATCAGCTAAAACTGCTATAAAGACGTTTGAGAAAATCACACTGACCCCTAAGCTCACCGCTGACGCGGGGTGCCCAGGCGTGGCATCCAGAGCCCCGGGCCCTGTGCCGGCGCCTGGCAACTGGGGACCTAGAAGCTCGGCGAGAGCTTCTGTGAGTGCGCGTGATGCCTCTGCGCTGTCATCCTAAAGCGATCATGTATATTTTACCGCAATGTTAAAATTAAGGGAAAATGAATAATCAGAGAATCTGAGGTATAAAAGTTACCGTGCAGCCGTTAATGACGGGGTGTATGTGGTAGCATCCACCTTCACCCCTGGAGGAGTCGAGACAGCTGGCAGTGCCTCAGTACGGGAAGGTGAATACGGTTCAGCGGCTCTGGTTCTGAGGAAGGACGAGGGGAGGGCAAAGCCCACGTAGTCGATGGCAGGTGGAGGGAGCTGAGTGCAGGTCAGCGAGGGATTCGGGCCTGTCACGGGAGTGGGTGGCGATGCCTGCCACAAATCTGTGTGCCCGTCCTAGCAGGCGGCTCCCCCATGCCAGGAAAGGGGGCATTCTTGCAGAACTCCAATGCTCGGGGACCCATCCCGGCCCAGGCTGTCAGGAGCTCTCTGCAACTCCCCAGCAGCCTCCCCGCCTCTCCACCTCACGGCACGGCTCTTCCTCTCGTCCCCCCGCCTTCCAGTCCGTTAGCCTCACCCTCCTGAGAATGACTGGTGTGTCTTCCCCGCCCTCACCTTTCACGGCTCCCTGTCATCAGTGTGGCGATCAGGGCTCCGGTCCTCAGCCCCCAGCCCGGAAGACGCCCTCCCTGCCGGGTGTCTGGCCCCCTAGGCCCTGGCACAGCCGCATGTGTCCCCACAGGTCCTGCCAGACCCCACCCAGACTGACTTTCCAGCCCCGCTCACCCCCGTGCACCTGACACTGCCAGGTGTCCCAGTCTCGCCGCCCCATGCGCGGCCCACTCGAGGAGCCATGCTCCCTTGAGAATTGAGCCCGAGGCCCACAGGAGAACACGGCACCTAGCCTGAGGGGCGGCTGTGGAGACGCAGGCTGGGGTGGCCACGTCCAGCCAGGGCTGTGCACCGGAGCGCAGGCTCTGTGCAGCCTCAAGCCTGCTGTGTGATTAGTCATGACAGAGACAGCGAACCTCGTTCGGTGACGGGGCTGGTCCATTTGGTTTATAACTTGACACTTGTGAACAGCTGGACGTGGCCCCGTCTGCCCCGCTGCCCCAGGCTGCAGATGCCAGGGCCGGCCTGCCCCAGCACACACTAGGCCCACGCCCCCAGAGCCTCCCCTGCCAGCGCTGGCCCGACGGGCAGCCCCGAGCCTGACCAGGGAAAGGAGCCTTCTTTCGGAAGGTTATGAAGCAGCAATTTAAGAAAATACATCTTGGATGGGGAATATAACCAAAATGAAAATGCAGGCGTTGTGCAAAAATGAAAAATGACGTAAGACTTAAATAAAATAGAATATTTTTTAAAAATTAAAAGAAAATGAACAATGATATAAAAAATTTTAAAAATTAATTAAGGAAAAAATACATCTTGGAGGCGATCTAGTTTGTCCCGGGATGCTTTGTCTTTTGTCTTTGTTAGGAGAGATAAGTGAGAAATCCAACAAAAAGAACAGCACAGGTAGCGAGCAGTGCTCCGGTGTTAGGCGGTGCTTTATCATTTTCGAAGTACATTTTTTGGCAGCCAGAGTCTAATCCGGTGGTGAAAATATTTCCGAAAGTCGCTTCAGCGAACCCCCAGTTGACATTACGGGCCGGGGTTCGGGAGGCCGAGCCTGCCCGGGCCGGGCCGTGATGCTGCTGCGTGGAGACCAGCGCCTGCGTGGCCGGGTCCCCCAGGGAGGTGCTCTACACAGCGTGATGCTTGTCTTCTTTCTCCAGCACTTTTCCACACAATGGTCAAAACATAGGCCTCCCGTCCTTGCTGGGGGCCCTGAACACTGGGGGGTCGCTGCCAGACCTGACCAACCTGCACTACGCAGCACCCCTGCCTGCCTCGCTGGACACCAGCGACCACCTCTTCGGCGGTGTGAGCATGGGCAGCAGCGTGGGCAACCTCCCAGCCGCCATGACCCACCTGGGCATTCGGAGCTCCTCCGGTAAGTGTCCCCGGTGGCCCTGCCTGGTGGCTGTAGCGAGACTCCACGTCCCGGCCTCGTAGCTCAGGGCCCTGCGGCGCTGCGCTCGGGTCTGCTGCTGGGCTGATGGGGTCTGGCGGGTTCTGCTGAGCTGTGCTGCGCGCATGGTCCCTGTGCCGGGCTCGGGAGCGGGCCTGAGAGTCGGGAAAGGCGCGACTGTGCTGTCCCGCGCTCTTCGCCACGCAGGCACATCATAGTGACAGGCTCCGTGCTGGCTCCTCCGCCCGCGCTGGATTTCAAAAGGGCCTTTTGGCTTTTACAGAATTGGCCGTGCCAGGGGGGAGAGCGTGTGACGGGTGCATTGTGTGGAAATGCCCCGCAGCGCACAAGTACTGGGTCCGATTTAGAAGCGCTCGGATGCGAGCAGTAGGAAGTTGTGTTTCCTTTAATACTTGCAGAACAGACAAGGGTCTGGTCTGAGTGACGGTGAGTGACTTGCGACTCGGTTCTCCTAGGCCTGCAGACCTCCCGCAGCAACCCGTCCATCCAGGCCACGCTCAGCAAGACGGCCCTGTCCTCTTCCCTGAACAGCCACCCGCAGGCGGCCGGCCTCGGCTCCAGCACACTCCACCCCTCGCTCCGGCTCTTTTCTCTCAGCAACCCCTCTCTCTCCACCACAAACCTGAGCGGCCCCCCTCGGCGTCGGCAGCCCCCCGTCAGCCCGCTCACACTCTCGCCAGGCCCCGAGTCGCATCCCGGCTTCGGCCGGCAGCTGTCTTCCACCAGCCCGCTGAACCACTGCCCTGCCCCGCAGGTGAGAACCGAGGCGGAGATGGCTGGGCTGACGGGCGGGCGCAGCCGGGCGGGCCTCCTGAGGTCGTCGCAGGGCTCCCCGGGCCGGGCGATGTCCTGCGTCTCACTGTGAGCAGAGAGTGGGCAACTCGGAGCGTCCTTGGCTTTCCAGCAGCTGTTGCGTCGACCGCCCTTATGCAGTTTGCCGTTGCGAAGTCTTGAAGTTGGGGTTGGGTAACGGGGGGGGGGGGGGGGCGGCCAGATGTATCTGAGAGCACGAAGCAGGCCTGCTTGGGGGTTGAGGATCCGTTGACTCCACCAGCACTTTGAGCTGCAGGGAAGCCGAAGAAGGCTTCGAAGCTTGGGGGTGGACTAGACCACTTCCCGAATTACGTCTCCACTGCTGGTCCCTAAAGTGCTGGGGATAATGGGATCATCTCTATGAAAGAGCTGAAAGAGTTCCCTTTAGAAAGAGGCATTTTTTTTCTTAAGATTTAATTTATTTATGCATGCAAGAACTGGGGTGTAAGCCAGCGGTGCGGGGGTGGGGGGTAGGTGAGAGGATTCACCAGAGAGAGCGGGGAGCAGAACAGGCGGGTCTACTGAGATCCACTGCTGAGGGGAGCAGCGGGGAGGCAGGAGAGGGCTGCTGCACCTTGTGGGTCAGCTCCCTGGCCAGGGATGGAACTCGTGCTGCAGAGGCTGCGGGCAGCTCGATAGCGCTGTCTTTAACCCCTGCGCCACCGGGGAGGCCCAGAAAGAGGCATCTTTTGAAGTCACAAGCCCATTACAGCAGTCTGGGAACTGAAGAGCCATTGTTTTGACTGGTTGGCTGTTTTTATTCTGAGCTCTTAGGGCAGGCTCCTGTCCATCATCAGTGGGTGTGTTTACGATCGGTCACTCCCAGGTAGATCGTAACCTCACTTACCACCGCTGCCCCATCAGTGCACAGTGACGGGGCATGGAGGGCCCGCGGGCCCAGTCCTTAGTCACGATTTGCCATCCCAGCTCCAAGTCTTGGTTCTGTGAGTGATTCCTTTTGGGGCAGGGGGAGCATGTATTTCATAATTTTTTATTTTTTTTTTTTTAATTTTTTTTATAGAGGCATGTTTTACTTATTTATTTGTTTTGTTTATACAAGCACTGGGTACAGTCAGAAGCGCGGGAGGGTGAGAGGATTCACCAGAGCCAGAGCGGGGAGCAGAGCAGGCAGAAGGACCGAAGTCCACTGCTGAGGGGAGCAGCGGGCGGCAGGAGAGGTCTGCGCGCCATGTGGGACCCTCGCCCAGTGGCCGGGGATCGAACCGGTACTGCAGAGGCAGAGGGCAGCTTCGCAACCCAGCGCTCAACCACTGCGCCACTGGGGAGGCCCTCCTAATTTTTTAAAGGGTTCTTTTCATGTTATTGGGTTGCCTTTAATTTCATTTTGCAAGATTATTTACTCTGCAAAACATAAAACTATTACTCTTACTTTCTGGAACAGGACCTGTGAGCTGGCGTGGCCTGCACCTGCCTTTCGTCTGCTCACCACGGAACTCCTCACTAGTGGGGCATTGAGTTCTAGGTCGGAAATAATTTTCTCTTGCAAACTTGAAGATCTTTTGATCCACTCACTGCCTGGCAGTTTCTAGAGTTGCTGTGGAGGAATCCAGTTCCGTTCCGATTCTGAATACTTTGAAAGAAATCTTCTTTTTTCCTCTGGAACTTTGCAGAACCTTCTTTTCGTCCCCAGGGTTTTAGACCTTCAAAATCACGTGGCTCTGACACACACTGGGCGGGTCCCTTCAGTCTCTCCTCTCTGGGAAATGTTCTTTGTTCCTTTGAGGACTTTCTTCCCTTCCCTTGACTCTGGTCTCTTTTTCTGGAACTCCAGAGCTTTGCCTCCAACCTCTTTCTTCTCTTTTCTTCTCCCTCCCCCTTTCCTTCCCTGACTCTTCACTTGGCTTGCGGGGACAGCCTGGACGTTGTCTTCCATCCGTCCAGGCACGGGGTTCATGTCTGCTCTCATCCTTTGAAATTGCTAAGGATTTTTCTTTGTTCTCTGAATGCCCCCTTGAAGGCATCCTACTTACTCCCTAAATTATCTTTTACTCCATAAATTAATGGTAATTTTTCTTGCACATTCTTTTATTTTCTGTAATGGAAATGTTCCAAACCACCTGAAGTAGAGAACACAGTGGAGATCAGTCCTTCTGTCCCCTCACCCAACCTCGCAGGCATCAGCATGTTTATAATCTGGGACGCGCTAGCCCTGCTTTCCACAAAAAAGTGTATGTGGAGAGACGCGCTGCGCGTGTTTTCATACATGTCTGATAGATCATGTAACAGCCTGAGCACCGCAGCGATAACTTTGGCTTCCGTGACTGCCACCTCCTGCCCAGGCTCCTCCCGCTGCCTTCCTCCTCCCTGCCCTCCCGTCGCGCGCGCTCAGGCGCTTTCCTCGCGGCTCGTGCCTCCTGGCGTCCTGCTCGGACTTGTGAACGGGACGCGTCCCAGAAGACCGAGTGGATGGGCCTGTTGGGCCTGGCCTTCCCTGTGGGGCCCTCTGGCCAAAACACTCATGTCCTCGGGTTTCGGGTTCCCTCAGGCTGGTCAGATGCCCCAGGACAATAGCCCAGCCTGGCAGGGTGTGGGCCCCACCCCAGCATGCAGCCGAGCTGGCCAGGAAAGGTGGAGGCTGGGGTCCCTCAGCGAGCTGCTGTCGCCCCCAGGGCCTGTGAGCCCTGGCCCGAGACCCGGGTGTGCCCCTCCCCTGCGTTCTGAGGTCTGAGCGCTGCTGTGGAGGCGGCCTTCTTGCCGCGCTGCCCGCCACCAGCCTGCAGAACCCAGCGTAAATGAGAAGCGTCCAGGCCTCCCCGCTGCCCGTGCCCTGCTCGCGTCTTGCTTCCTGGCGCTGCTCAGCTGCTTCCTCCTGGCCGTCTCTTTGCGTTTTCTGAATTGTGTTGCTGTTTTCATCTCTCCTATTATTTTTGTCCTCATTTATCATCGTTTCAATAATGATATTTTTGCGTTGCTTATCGGTGTTTGTTGCTGTCAGTGTGTTTCGTAGGGTTCGGGGAAACAGCAGCGCAGGATGCCCCCTTCAGTCTTCCGTGTTTACAGCTTCATGGCTTTGAAAAGATAACGTGACTGAGAAAACTGAGAAGAGATGGTTCTGCTGCGTGGGTGTTTTGCTTTGTTTCTTTGTTCAGACGAGAGAGATTGGCGCTGAATGGGAGAAGTTTTGTGGGGAAGTGAGATCAAGACACGTTTTGCAGGAGCGGAAGGCTTCTTAGTGCGTGAGCTCGGGCCTGTGCGAAGGCGCCTGGGGCTTCTCCTGGCTTACGTTTGCCAGTCGCGAGGGACTTGCTGCTGGACACCCAGAAGTTGACCTTTCTAGTGACTTTGCTTTACAGATGATGTCCTCAGAGCAGAGCCCGGCTTCCTTCCTGCCCACAGAATCCCAGGTGTCCCCTCCGCCCCCTTACCTTGCCGCAGCCCAGGAGCCTCTCCTGCCACAGCCCCACCCCCAGGAACCCCCAGCCCAGCAGCCCCCCTCAGCCTCGTCGCTGCCACAGTCTGACTTCCAGCTCCTCGCGGCCCAGGCCCAGGTGAGACCTACGGAACAGAGGCCGGGAAGACGCGGGTTTTGGCCTAAGTTCCAAGCTCAATGCGCCATCCCTCTTCTCTGAAGGGCTCGCCCATGACCAACTTCTTCCCTGATGTGAACTTTGACCAGCAGTCCCTGAGGCCAGGCCCGGCCTTTGCTCCCCAGGTGAGTGAGCTTCTGCTCTGCCTGAAGTCTGGTGCTGCTGTGAGTCCGCCCTCAGCCAGACCCGCAGGCACAGGGGCGGAGGCACTTGGCTGTAGCCTGAGGGTCAGTCCTGCTGGGAGGGACAGAGAGGCCCGGCATCACTATGTCGGGAGCCTGAGACACGGTGGCCTGTGCTCAGCCAGTTGCTGCTCGGGCCCAGCGGGGCCTCTCCGGAGGGCCCGCCCTGACGGCAAGGTGGCCCCCACACACACACACACACACACGTAGCTGTTGCCCTTCACCACGCAGCTTCTCCCTCACGCTGACGGTTGTCAGGACCCTGCATTCGCAGCGCTCGCTAGGCGCAGAGCAGTGTGGGCCCCACTCAGGAGCCGGGCCAGCTGGGCCCCCCAGGACTACTGATCGTTAGGACAGTAAAGGCAGGTCGTTCCCACGCGGGCCACGGGAGGCCGGTCATCTGTGCCCATCTCCTGCCCAGGCCGTTTCCATCAGTCCACGTCTTCCTGAAAAACGCTGGAAACTCCTGCTTCTGAGAGATTAAGAAAATAGATCATTAACCTTAGAAGAGGCGGCTAACACAAACCCCTGTCCTGATGAGTCCTCGGAGAGGACGTGCCTGGGGTTCTCCCTGGACACAGAGGGACGGGCCCTCGCGTACCTCCGCAGGGGAAGAGCCCATCGCTCCCGTGGTCCCAGGGGGCCCCTTGCGGGTCCCACAGAGGCAGTTTCCAGAGGCCTCGGGTGGCTGAGGCGCAGGCGTCTCGAGTCTGAGGGCTGCAGAGGCCATGCTGGTGTTTTGGGATGGCTTAGGGGACCGCGACAGGAACAGGGATGCGTCACCCACAGGGTGGCTGCAGCGCCCTGCCTGCACTCTGCCTGAGGGAGGCGTCTGTGCTGGGTGAGACGGTACTCGTGTGGGCCCTACTCCAGGAGCCCCCCACACCGTCCCATGTGCCCCACACCCCGGCGGGCCCAGCTCCTCACAGCCTGACCTTTGGTGCTTCCAGGTGCCCCTGGCACAGCCAGGCCCCCGGGACGCCCAGGACCCGTTCCACCTGCGACCAAACCTGTACTCCAGCTGCGGCAATTTCCCAAACACCATCCTGGCGGGTGAGTGGGCCGCCCCGGCGCCTGTGCTGTTTCCATCCTGCAGTGTCCTCGCTGCTGCCGCGGTCGGGCAGTCCAGGCGTTATCTAAAACAGATCAGGCAGGGCCCAGCTGCACTTGACCTCTCTGAGGTGCTGGCGTCCAGTCCCAGACACCCAGAGGCGGTGGGCGAGGGCCTGGGCAAGCCCCCGTTCCTGAAATGTCGGGTTTTAAGTGTCTGCTGTTCAAAGGGAGTAACCTGCAAGTGGGGGGCCTCGTGCACTCTCTGACGAAACGCAGCTCCAGGGGAGGGGGCGGGAGATAGGGGCCCTGCGGCCGCTGTCCTGGGTGGGACGAGGACACAGAGAGCCGGTAGTGTGTCCTCGCGGGGCCTCACGCCTCCTAATTCTCCCTGTCTGCCCTCTGCTGCGCCTTCAGAAGAGTCGAGCACCAGCCTGTTCAAGGACCTCAGCAGTGCGCTGGCGGGCTTGCCCGAGGTCAGCCTGAACGTGGACACTCCGTTTCCACTGGAAGAAGAGCTCCAGATCGAGCCCCTGAGCCTGGACGGCCTGAGCATGCTGAGTGACGCCAGCATGGGCCTGCTCGACCCCTCTGTGGAGGAGGCGTTTCGAGCCGACCGACTGTGAAAGGGCGGAGCAGGAGACTTTATTTCCGAGGCAGAAGTGAAACAGAATGGGATCGAATGGAGCCGCTGCACCCTGGGCTTTACTTCGCGGCTTCTGAGGTGGAGGAACCAGCTCCCCGGCTCCCGGCTTCCAGACGCCCCCCGCGCCTGCACGGGGCCCTCCTGCTGCAGGCGGCTGATGGGAGCTGCCGACGAATCGGTCCTCGCCCAGCCGTTGCGTCTTGTCATTGGCCGTCTGCCCTGCCGGCGTGCAAAAGTAGAAAATGCCGCATCTGGCAGCCCCGTCGCCCCGTGTGGGGCGCAGAACCACTGTCCACGACCACACTGGCCAAAGGGCCTGCCGGGCCTCGGGTCACAGCGCCCGCCCCTGCGGCGGGCTGCCCGGGACGCCGCCACCTTGCCCCTCCGTGAACGCATCCAAGGCCAGGCTTGAGTTAAGCAAATTGAAAGACTGAAAAATACGTCGCCTCCCAGTTTGTAGTCTTGTCTCTGCTGCTTCAGTGCCTTTTCCCGGGGCCTAGCGGAGAAGGAAACCCTCTTGCTCAGTCACTGAGGAACAGTCCCTGGGAGCCGGGGAGCTGAAGGGAACAGGGGCTCTTCTGGGCGCCTGGGAAGAATGCCAGGGGGCTAGAGGGGTCTCCTAGAAACGTGGTGTCCCCCAGGCAAGCCCCAGGCCCGCCGCCGCCAGAGGGCGGCCCACCCACAGCCGAGCAGCAGCACACGGCAGCCACCTCGGAACAGAGGTGTTTGTGGAACCGCTCTAGACCGCAAGCTCCCCGAGGGCAGACACTGTGCCTTACTCCTCACTGACCCCCAACCCTCACGAGTGCCTGGCACCCAGCAGGTGCTGCTGGACATGGGCGTGAGCACTGAGGTCTGCCCGGCGGGGAGGCCACCAGCCCCAGCTGCCCCTCCCCCCGGGCGGATTTCCTCGGAGCTCAGCTTCTCTGACACTTGTGGCAGAGTCAAGCAAGCACTTTATATGCTCTTCACACCCAGTGACCAGATCCACGCTCTCCCGGGCCACGCTCTCAGTAGCGATCCAGCCTTCGGGGTTGAACAGCCTTTAGTAAAACAAAGGCCCGGCTCCGAGCCCGCTGTCAGTCACTGATACTGCAGCACAAAGCCCCCCCGTCCTGCCTCCCACACAGGCGGGCTTGAAGGGACAGAGGGGAACCCCTCCTCGGAGGGGTCTGGGCCGCAGGACTGCACGCCGGCATGGAAGACAGGGCAGGAGCACCAGAACGCACAGGAGAAGTGGAAGATGCCGGAACCGTTGTCTGCGTAGCCCTTCTAGGAGATAGCAGCAGGGTGGCTGGAGGCCGCTGGGCTGCTCCACCCGAGAAGGCGGCCGTGTGCGCAGCCCCTGGCAGGGCCAGCTCGCTCCCAGCCATCCCTCCCGCTTCTCGTCCGCCCGTGGAGGAAGCGCCTCGCCTCTGCTCCCCACCAGCCCTGGGGGCGCCTCCTCCTTCCTCCGTGCCCCACCTCCTCCCACGTCACACTCCCCACGGCCCGTGTGGGATTCAGACTGAGGACCGCTGGGGCCTCGCCTCTCAAGCTTCAGACCCCTTTGTGCTTGAGGTCGCAGAGAGGTGACTTTTCGCTCCAGCCCAAGGGCCTTTCGTTCACGGTACACAGCGCCCCAGTGCCTTTCCCGCGTCAGAGCTCCCCGAGGCCTGATCTGGCCTTCCAGATGGGGGGTGACGCTGGCGTCGGAGGGTTTTTTGGGAACAGCTCCCAGCATGCCCCACCGTGCAAGTGCCTTCCCCGGGGCGTCAGCATCGGGTGCCCGCGCTGTCACTCAGCGAGACCTGAGGCTCCAGCAGGAAGTGGCCGCCCCTGGTCTTCCCAGGGGACCCTGCCGTGCAAGCCAGGGCCCCCGGAAGTGACCTGTGGGCATGATGCTGGCGACTGGGCTTAGCACCTGGCTAGGTTTGTCCCTGGGCCCATCTCTCCAGTCTCGTCTGGAGAAAAGGTCGGGGGCGTGACCAAGCCACTTAGCCCGGGTGCGACCTAGCACGCCCACGCAAGCGTGGCTCCGACCTCCGGCAGCTGGGTCGGCGTCCTCCACCCTCGGGACACCAGGCCTGGCCCGCGGGCTCTTTCCCGGCTTCAGTTTCGTCCCAAGAGCGCGACCTCCTCTCACCAGCCCAGCTAGACGCAGACCCAGACGCCCTCCCCTCCCGGCCCGTCGCTCCGTCCTCGCGGCCGTCAGGACATGCGGAGTTAGCAGGTGCGCCTGGTCCCTCGAGACCAGCGTGTGTCCTGCGTCCTCCCGTGTCCCCGCACGCCCAGAGCGGGACGCGTGGGCCCGGCCTCTCGCCCTTCTGGGCCGCTGCAGCCCCACGCGCCGGCCCCGACCCCCAAGCAGCGGCCCCGTCCGTCAAAGCAACTGCTGACCCCCGCAGGTCCTGTCCCCTGTCCCTTGTCAAACAATATTTAAAGATTGGAATTTGTATAAAGTTGCTTCCAAGTTTTATAATGCATTTTACATCTTTCGTAATTAAAAGCGGCACAATAAGGTTGTACCTGCATTTGGCGTTTCTGTTCAGCCTCTTCTGTGCCGCTCGCCTGGCTGGGCCCCACTTCGCGCTTCCTGGCCGCGGCCGGCTCCTCGCAGGCCGCCCCTCAGGCCGTCGCGAGCCCGTGGGAGCCTGCGGTTCCTTGTGGCCTTGGGTGCCACGGGCCCCTGAGGTCCCCACCTCTGTCTCCCACTGCCAGTGCCTGCCGGCCCCTGTTCCCACCCTGACCTGAGAGGCCGCCAGGTCTATGGTCCAGGCCGTGGAGGCTCCCCTGGGGCGTCTCTGCTCGCCCCCACGCGCAAGGACTTTGGGCCACAGGCCCGCCGCAGCAGGTGGCCTCAGCCTCCGCAGCCACACCTGGGCCGCCAGAGAAGGGGCTGCGACAGCCCCCCCAGAAGCCCCACGCTGGCCTGACTCCCCGGCCACTGTCCCCCTCCCGTCCACACGCCCTGTTTGAGCCCACTGAGAATTCCGCCCCATCCCCCGCCCCAGCCTTCCCTGCAGCAGTGGCCCCACGACACCCTCGCCATGCTGAGGGCGCTCTCCTGCTGCCACCCCAGGCCTCTCCTCGAGGCCTCCCTCCTCTCATGTACAGACTCCAAGCTGCCGGGGCAGCCCTCAGCCTCCTTTCCCCACCCACCCCCAGCCCTCTCCTGCGCCTTCCTGCACCCCGGTGGGCCTTGTTTCCTGTGTGAGTGACCAGCTCTCCCTCCAGAGGTGCCCGGCTCTTTCCAGGCCTCCCACTTGCCCCTCCCCAGGGGCTCTTCCCACAGACCAGCGCTTCTGCTCGCCGCTCAGAACAGAAAAAGCAAGAACCCTCTTCTCAGACCCCAACCTGTCGCCCCTTCTGGAAAACTCCCTCATGCTCAGCTGCCGTCCCCCTCTGCCCAGCCCTCAGCTGTCTGTCTCACTCCTCAGGCCACATGTCAGCTTCCCGGCTCCTCGGCATCTCCCCAGCTGTCCCCAGGCCACCGTGTCTCCACGTGGATGACCCGTGTTCAGTCCACCCCCACCTGCCTGTCAGGCCAGGGCCCTGCACTCTGCTGGGCCTTGGCAGCCCCTCCCTGCAGGGGTTAACATGCCCCCGGTTATGGCCCCAGCCCGATGCTCGCGCTGGAGCAAGGCGCTCGTGCTGCTTCCTTCACTCACAGCCGCCCCCTTCGGGGCCCTCTGTGCCCTTGTCCCCACCTTGCAGTGGTCTCCCTTCTGGCTTGGCCTTCACCTCCAGCCCCGAGGGGCAGCCTCTGCCTCCCCTCGGAAGTTTTCAGGGTGACGGATGTGATCTGTGCGCCTCAGCGTCCTTACCTGTAAGAGGGGCAGCAAGCGCCCCACTGCCTGGCCCCGTGGAGGACGGACCCAGACCCTGGCAGCACGTAAGGCTATTCCCGGCCCCCAGCAGACCCTGGGGGTCACCCGCTGCCCTTCTGCCGCGTGACTAGCCCGTCCTTTCACCGGGAGCTGCACACCTTGCAGAAACAGCCGGGCGGAAAGGCCGGGCCCGCCCGCGCGGGGAGGCCGTCAGCTCCGCTCCAGCCCTGCTGGCCGGCGTGGGAACGCGCGCCTGTGCCCCCCGCGGACGCTAGATGGAGCTGGGTCCCCGGTGGCTGCCGGGCGAGCCGGCGGGGGAAGCCACCTTGCCTCCCGGGAGGGCCTCTCACGGGCAGCCTCGAGGAGCGTGATGGGCCTCCGTGACCGCTCCGCTGTGGAGAGGGGACGCTGCCCGTCGCGTGTTCCCCGGGGCTGGAGAGTCAGGTGGGGAGGCGGCCTCCGGCTTCACGGCTCAGCGTCACCAGACAGCGCAGGGCCAGGTCTCCTCAGCAGCCCCGACCCCCGAGGTCCAGACGCAGAGCCCGGCTCAGCCCCGCGGCCTTGCTGCACGCAGCGCCCGGCTGCACCCACAGGGATCTGCCTCGCCGTGGCAGGGAGGGGCTGCCGCCTGCTGGCGCTTCCCTGCGGGGAGGGGCGGGGTGGGGGGGACCCCAGGTTTTTTCTCTTTTCCAGAAATGTATTTTAATTTTTTTGAAAGGCTCCGCTTTCGTGGCGCGCCGTCTTGGGAAGGCCCAGGCGGGGCCGGCGGCCGCAGGAGCAGCGCGGGGGCGGCCGTCACGCCCCTGCTCCGAGGGGGCAGGCGGCAGATGGGGTTTCGCCAGAAAGCCCCGCGAGCAAGTGACCTACTGCTCACACACGTGCACATTCACAGACACGGGCCGGCAGCCGCTGGGGGCCCAGCTCCCCGCTCGCTTCCTCTCCCCTTGGGGTGCCTCGGTCCCTGTGGTCTGCTTCCCTGCTGGAGACGCCCGGCCCCGCGCCCGCGGCCTACTAGAAACAAGTCCCGCTCCCCAGGCCTCCTGCCCCCGCCCTCGCCCCTGACCAGACAGCCCCAGCGCCACCCCTCCCCGGGACGCCCGTCTGGAGCCCAAGGCCCCGGCGCCAGGACGCCCTGCAAGAGTGGGCAGGAAGACTCAAAAGCCCCAAGCTGGGAACCACGGCGGCAGCCAACCCCCCGTTCGCGGCAGCGCAGTGACCACAGCGGCGGCCTGCCCGGCTCGGCCTCCCGGGAGAACGGGGAGACCTGGTGAGTGAGGCGGGAGCGGGGAGAGGGTAGGCGGCCGGGCCGTCTGGGGAGGCTGCTGTGCGCAGCGCCCGGTCCCCAGGGGCGGCGAGGCCCCCACTGACCCGGCGCCGCCCCAGGAGTGAGTGCTGGGGCCGGGACGCTGGGCTCGGGGGGCCACTGGAGTGGGCGTTCCAGGCCTCAGCAGGTCTTCCCGAGGTGGCCCGGGCGCCACGAGAGTGAAGTTGATCTCAGCGGGGACTGCCGGAGAGGGGGTGCTGGCGGCGGGCGAGCTGGCGGCCGCGCGGGCCAGCAGGCGGCCTGTTGCCATGGTCCCTGGGCAGGGGCACTGCCTGGGGGGCGGGCAGGAGCTGAGGTTGGGGGTGTTCGGAGGCTGCAGCCAGGGCTTCCACGTGGCTCCCTGCATCACCAGCGGGGCCCCCCAGGACCCCGCTGTGATCCCGGGTCTCAGCCCCCAGCCTCGGGCTCCAGAAGGGAGGAGTCGCCGGCTCGACCTGGCCGGGCCACGGCGCGGGCTGTGGGGCGGCCTCAGCGCGGAGGATCTGGTCGAGGCCTCTGCCCCGGGAGAGTAGGGGCCCCTGACGCGTGGCTGACACGTGGGCCGCGGCTGCCCGGGGCGCACCCCTCGCCTGAGGCCGGGCTCTGGGCTCTCCGTGGAGGACGTCACCCTCCCGCCCTCGTCGCTGCGCTTGGTCTCCCTCCGTTGCCCGAGGCCAGCGCGGCCCGCGGCGCCCACCGCGTCACAGCCAGCGGCTCTTCCCCACGGGGACGCTGCGGTTCTCAGCGGCTGTGGCCGGTGGGGCGTGAAAGAGTCGCACCTGCCCACGGCGCATCAGGCCCCGCCGTGAGGGGCTCGCGGTGGGGGGCGCGTGGGCGGACACCCAGGGCGACGGGCAGAGCCCCTGCCCCGCGGACGCTCCTCTCCTGGACACAGGCGGGCCCGGCTCTCTGGTCTAGGACAACACAGACCCGCTGGCGCGCGCTGGGTTTGCTGGAGCCGAGCGACGCCCGAACCTACGGGGCAGAAAGTGCGTCCGGCCCGCGCGGCAGGACAGGGCGTCCTGAGGTGGCGCCGGCGCGGGGCTCGCGCACACCTGTCACGCGCCAAGGCGCCCCGAGCCGCCCGCGCCCTCGTCCCGGGCCAGACAAGGCCGGTGCCCGGGTGGCCGGCGCTGGACGCCGTGGTGCTGGGCTGCCGGGAGGCGGGAGCGTCGAGAGGCAGCAGGAAGCCCTGGCACGTGGGGACAGGCGCGGGGAGACGGGAGGGGCCGGGACAGCGCCAGCCCTGCTGCCCACGCCCGCCGCGGCCCGATGCCCCGAGCTGTGCTCTCGCCGCCGCCGCCTCGGAGCGCGCCCCGCCAGCACCAGGGAGCCCCCGCGCCGTCCCCGCGCGAAGACTTGCGGCAGGCCGCGGGGGTCGTCTGGGTGCTGAAGGCGGGGGCCGGCCACGTCCCGGGGACACTCACAGGGGACGAGCAGGGGCTTCTCCCGAATTTCAAGCAGAAAGAGCTGAGCTGGGGGCGTCACGAGGTCCGGACACCCGGGACAGCCGGGGGCTTCGCCGGCGGCCGCCGAGAGCCGCTCCCTGGCCAGCGCCCCCGGCCTCCCCAGGCCCGAACAATCGGAGGAAACCTGGGACCTGGGAACTTGGCAAACGCCTCTCGCTGAAACGCAGAGACGGACAGCCGGGCGGGGGGGCGCCCTTGCTTCACCCACGCTGCGGGCGGGCCTGCCGGCTCACCCCCGGGGCGCCGCCCGAGGTGGGGCGGGGCAGCCCAGGGGGCCGTGGAGAGGGGGACAGTCTTCCCTGGCTGGGCCCCACAGCCGGGCCCCGGGAGCAGGGAAGCAGTGGCGGCGAGGGGGGCGTCACGGAGCCCGGTCGGGCCTGCTCCCCGTGACCGGGGCAGCCAAGGCCCCTCTGAACGTGGAGCGGCCGTTTGGCCTCCACCAGACCAGAGGCGAAGAGCCCTTTCTTCCTGGGCCTCCGCAGCCAGGGCAGGCCCAGCCCAACGCCTCCAGCTGCATCCAGGGGGCATCACAGCCCACCTGGCAGAAGATGGGCTCAGCTGGGAATGGAGGAGGTGAAGCACAGGCCTCACCCCCCTCTCCTGCTCCGGGGCCAGGCGCTCCCAGCAGCCCACACCTGCGAGCCCCTCGTCCAACTGCATCTCCCAGAACCTGCTTCCACTGGAGGGCGGAACGGTCCAGACACCTGCCGCCGCCGCCGTGGGTTTCACTCCAGAGACTGGGGCCGGCCCGTGCACAGGCGGGCCTTCCCGCGCTCTCTGATTGTTCCAGAACAATTGTAACAGGGGGGTCCCCAGGAAAGGGGGAGGTTCCCTGCCCCACCCAAGGGAGGGTGGAGCTGAGCAGGAAGAGAAGAGAAGAAGCTGCAGAAGAGACTGAGGAAGGAAGGAAGCAGGATGGAGCCAG